TTTCCTAGGTTTTAAGTTTGAGCAGTTGGATTCAAAGTGGTACTATTTATTGAGATGTGGGTCTGGAAGAGGATCCCCATAAGTTTTGTTTTATTTAGACGCACTAAGTTTGACTGATTGATATATTTAGCCAACAAATATTTATTTAGTAGCTACAATGTGTCAAGTGCTATTTTCAAATGCTTGGCGGACAGTATAAGTGAAACTGACCCCCTGCACCAAAAAAACAAAAACAAAAACAAAAACAAAAACCTTTTCCTCCTAACTCTTTCAGTGTAATTGTAGGATATCATCAATAAGGAGTAAACATAATATGTGCACTGGAAAAAAGTCAGGATGATGGGGAGTGCCAGTGAAGGGTTGTTAGTGGTTGAGGAGCATATGTGCATGGTAGACCTCATTGAAAAGGTGACTTTGAGAACAGATTTGATGGAGGTGACAGAATTAGCTATGTACTTATCTGGGAGAAGAGATTTCAAGGGAAAGCAACAGCAAATGCAAAGCCCCTAAGGCGGGAATGTGAATAGCAATTTTGAGCCAAAAAAAAAAATGCTATTATGCTTCAAGGAGAGTGGTCAAAGGCAAGAGCATTAGGAAATGATGTCAGAGATGTAACTGGACTGTGTCATTTATGGCTAATGAAGAATCTGACTTTTACTCTGAGTTTTGAGTTGGGAAGCAATTGAGTATTTTTTTTAACCAGAGGGATAACATAATCTGATTTTAATATAGGGAAGAGGCATGAGAACTAAACGTTAAGCTGTATTCAGATCCTGCAATGTGCTGCTGCCAGACCACAGGAAACCTACAGAACAATGGAAAAGTCCTGTTGGGATTACTAAGAGACCATTTACCCGTACCCTACCAGGAAAACAGTCTTTAAGTCATACCATACATAAAGTAAACCCAACCAGTCATTCCTTATGGGGAACCTATAGAAAAAAGGCCAAGATTGCTAACATACATTTCACGCTCCATGCATTTCATGCTACATACCTTTATCTTTCATGCTACATACCATACCATCAAAGGAAAACAGGGTAAACATAGTCTTTAAACTGTAATTCATAGAAGCCGAGAATGACATATAATCTGAAGTCCCTGAACACTTGGGGTCTTTTCTCTTAGTCTCTGTATCTCTCTCTCTCTCTCTCTCTCTCTCTCTCTCTCTCTCTCTCTCTCTCTCTCTCTTTTCTCTCTGTCTCTCTGTGCCTTAGTCCCTCTCAGCTCTCTCATTATCTTTGAGAGGAGCCCACATCTCTGTGGAGCATTATTCCTTCTCTAATAAACTTTCCTTTCATCTTTAACTCTGGTGCACGCTTGAATTCTTTCCTGTGCTCAGTCAAGAACCCTCTCTCTGGGTGCAGGACTTGAACCCCCCTCCCCCCACACTCGAGGGGATTTGCCCTGGCCTGCATCAATTACGTAATAACAGGATCATTCTGGCTGCTCTTCTGAGAACAGTCTGTAGGGGGAAAGGGTAGAAACAAGAACAGCTAGGAGGCTTTTGCAGTGAGCAGACAAGAGATTATGGCAGCTTTGAAAAGCAGTGTGAAGTGCTGAAGGATTAGATATGGAGTGGGCAAGGGGAGGTTGAGGAGGGAGAAGGGGAGGGAGAGGGAGGAGAAGAGAGAAATATCAAGGATGCCTTCAAACTGTTTGGCCTGAGACATGAGAAGGATGGAGTTTCTGTCCACTGTATAGGGAAGATTGAAGATGGAGTAAGCTTTGGTAGAATATCAGAAATTAACCTGTGAACATGCTCGCTTTGGGATGCCAATTAGACCACCAGTGGAAAAGTTGAATAGGAAGTAAAATCTGCTAGCATGGAGTTAAGGACAGATATGTGGACTGGTGATAGAAATTTGGGAGTTATCAGCATACAGATGGTATTTAAAGCCAAGGGGAGAGTGCAGATACAAAAGAGACTGACCTAAGGCCCGAGCCCTGGAGCACAACAGTGTGAAAAGTACAAGGAGAAGAAAGTAACCAGCATAACCCTCAAAGGCGGCTCTGAAGGTACAGACAGTCAGGAGAAAAACCCAGAGTGTCTAGTTCCTGGAAGCTAAGTGAAGAAATTTAATAGGAAAGGGGAGGGAATGTCTCTTATATTCAGTGCTGCCTGCAGGTCAGCTAAGATGAGAATTGAAAATTGACCTTGAAAAGGTCATTTTTGAGCCGGACAAGATCAAGTTCAGTGGAGGTGGGGATGAAAGCCTGATTATATATAGTACGTCTAAGAGGAGAAATCAAGAGATGAATTAGAGGCAGGATATGTAGAGAGCTGTTTCCAAGGGTTTTGCTGCAAATGGAAGCATAGAAATGAGATAGCTGGCAGAGGAATTAAGGTCAGAAGACATTTGCGTTGTCTGTTTTGTAAATCAGAGATATGAAAGTATGGTTTATTTATGTGCTGATGGGGATAGTTGAGTAGAAAGGGAAAAATGCAAGAATAAAATTAGGGAATTGCTCGAGTGATGTCCTTTAGTACGTAAGAAGGGATGAGATATAGGGCACAAGTGGAGGTATTGGCCTTATTTAGGGGCAAGAATATTTCATCTATAGCAGCAAGTTCTTTTAGATATCTAATGGATATGTAACTAAATCCGTAAGTTAATTATAACATTCAAAAGTTCTCAAATGTTTTACCATATGTCTGTTCTGAAGTTCCTTGTGCCTACAATTGACTAGGGAGAGTGTAGATTTTGGAGAAGGTAGTTGGAGGCCTAATGAGCGCCTAAGAATATACCGGGTACATTATGAGATTGCTTATTGAAGTGGGCTGTAATGGAGGGCTGACCCCCAAAACGCTCTGCTTTCAGTTCCAGAATTTCAACTCTTCTGAATTTTCCTTCTACCCTAGGCAAGAGCGACAGTGTAGTCGCTTTACAGCATGAATCACTTTGATTAAATGGATTTAATGTTACATTTAAGAAAATCATTTTAAAACTCGTGCTTGCATTTTCAGACTAAAACCAGCAAAGTATTTTGTGATTTTTATAGCAAAGCTATATTCCTTATTTGTAGCGAATGAATGAAATTGCAGACACATTTTATGTTCATCTGTTTTTATATTTTCTGTCACAGTATTAGCTCATTTAATTATTCACAAATATAACAATATAGCTATTTTAAACCTTGTAAATTAAACGTATAAATGGCCTAAGAGTTGCGATCTGACATAGCAATTCTTCTTAGTATAATTTATAATTTGACAGTAATGAAATTCATAAATAGGAATAGCAGTGCTAAAACAGGCAGGAAAAAAACCTAACTTATAATGACCAGTTACAATAAGAAAATAGCTTTTTGAATTGTTAAAGTTGATAACAGCTTAATTACAAGCTATTAAATCTGAGAAATAATCTTTCAATCTTCTTAACTTTCAAATTAAATTTTTCTAATAGCAATTCTTGCCTGCCTGCAGTAGTTTTATAAGAATTCCAATTATTTTATCATAATAATCCATCTCTACAATAATTGTTTCAAATAACCATTGTTCAAACTTTTGGAGGAAACCAGCAAATCTACGCTTAGGTATATAGCTAAGAGAAATGGAATCGGATGTCCACACAGAAACTTGTGCAAGAATTTCTGTAGAAGCACTATTCATAAAAGCCAAAAAGTAGAAACAACCCATATTTCTGTCAGCCGATGAATGGATAAGCAAAAATGGTTTGTCCACAGTGGACTATTATGATGATAAAAAGAAATGAAGTACTGATACATATTGCAACGTGAGTGAACCTTGAAAACATTATGCTAAGCCAAAGAAGCCAGACACAAAAGGCCGCAGATTATGTGATTATATTTATTTGAAATATCCAAAATATTTACGGACAGAAATCTATATGGACAGAAAGATTAGTGGTTGCCTGTGGTGGAAGGACGCGAGGCGATTGGGAGTGGGCAGTGACTGCTAATGAGTATGACGTTTCTTTTTCGTATGATTAAAATGTTCTGATGTTAGATACTGGTGTTGGTTGCACAACTGTGTGAATATATTAAAAACCACTGAATTGTTCACTTTAAAAGAGCTAATGTTATGATATGTGAATTTTATCTTAATAAAGTTGTTAAAATAATAGCTTAAAAAAGACAACATGGAAGTTACTTTAGATAGTCACTTAAAACCACCTTCCAAGTAAGTTCAGAAGTTTTTTTTGCATTCTACTCTTTAAAAAATGCAGCCAATCTGTGATACACTGTGAAAAAAAATAATGAGGTAAAAGAATAGGCATTTTCTATCATTTTTCTGTTACAGCAAGTGCCTATTGAAAGGTTGATTAAAGGTCAAAGGGACACTGTATTTCTAGAAATATTTTTTAAATTGCTTGAAATCTCAGACAATAAGTGTTGATTATACAGGCAGACCAGCACAGATGGATATGAAGAAGTGCCATCGCGATGCCAACTCAATATTTGGAAATTTCTCTTTAAAATAGAGTGATTTCTCTCTTTTTCTTTTGTTTAGTCTTTTCCCCAACTAGAAACAACTATGAGATCCATACAGTAAGTTCTTTTGTGGGTGAGCCCATGAGGGCCACGGGGGAATGGAAAACACTGGTGTAATGAGATAGAGGTTTATCAAACTGCTGGTATCCAGACTAGTGTCTCTGACCAGACAATTCAACGGAGGCATTAAAAAATATCATATCTACATTTCTCCCTAGGAGAACTCATATTTCTTCAGCCCTTCTGAAGAATTCTGGTATCAAAAGGATAAAGAATTCTACAGCCATGCCACCCTGAACGTGCCCGATCCCATCTGATCTCAGAAACTAAGCAGGGTTGGGCATGGTTAATACTTGGATGGGAGACCACCTAGGAAGACCAGGTGTTGTAGGCATAAAAAATAAAAAGGATAAAGAAGTTGACTGAGTACAGCAGCAGAAATGCCAACAGCTCAAAAAGCCTGCTTTTACTTTCTAGTTTACACAGGCATTACCTTATTTGAGCCTCTTGACAAACCTTGATTTAGGTAGAATGAGCGCCCTTATCTCTACTCTGCAGATGAGACAATAATCTCAGGCGTTGGAACTCACTTAGGGTCCCATGGCTAATAGGTGTCTTGGCCAGACATTGAACCTTTACTGAGTCCTGCTTAGGGTCCCTTTTATTGTACACAGCTGCGCCATCAACCCGGTGCCTTATAAATAAGCTCTCCAGAACTACTTTGGTGAGGAAGTTGGTTCTGGTCTTCTATCACAGGTCCTGATAGAGCATTTGTGCCGTCAGGCTCAAATGACCCCAATTCCAACTTTGATCTCCTTGCATAGCATATCAGTTCTTCAAATTATTGTATTTTGCATGTTCGCTTCTATTAGTACCTCATATCTACTCAGTACTTATATATCTTCTTTCATCTTTCTTTCTATGGGAGACATTAAAGCAGAGTAGTCAAAAGCATTAACTTTGGAGTAAGATTGGGTTTTACAACCCAGTTTTGTCACTTAACTAACTTTGCGAATTTGTACAAATTACTTAATCTACTTGGGGCTCAGTATTTTTATATGTAACATAGAGATTAGGAGCAAAATCCCCTTCAAATTTGTAATAGGGTGTCAATAGAATTCATCATCCACATAATCACAGAGAGCCACAGGTGCAAGTGGGATTGCTATGAGCAGCCAGGTCATATGACACCCCACCTAAATGAAACAATGCATGGAATGGGACTAGCACACTCCCTGACTCATGGCAAAGCCCTCATACATGCTGTTCTCTTTGACTCAAACACTCTTCCCCACCACTCTTCCCTGGCTCTTCTTCATTCTTCAGGTCCTAGTTTAAATGCCACCTCTTCTGAGAAGCTGTGCCTGACCACCGTATCCAGGTCTGTCTTTTCTTTCGTAGAACTTATTGCAGTTTGAACTTACACATGTATTGTGCACTTGGCAATTGCTGCTTTTTTTTTAGCATTTTATTTTATTATTAGTTTCATGTATATTGGTTAGGCATTTATGTAGTTTATGAAACCATCCCCCCGATTACTCCACCCCTCTGGCTCTACACACAGCCATTATATTACTGCTGACTACATTCCCTATGCTGTGCTCCCCATCCCCGTGACCATCTATCAAGGCGATTGCTTCTTTTCCCAGTTCTACTGGAAGCTCCATTAGGACAGAGACCACATCTTTTTCATTCATCGTGTTCCCAGAGGCTAGCTTAATTCTTGATAGGCATGCAGATAATTTATAGAATGGGGTAATGATTGCATGAATATTAATTTCTTTTCCCTGTACCAGTGGTTCTCGCTTAGGATAATTTACCCCCCAGGGAACATTTGGCAATGTCCAGAGACATTTTTGGATGTCACAACTGTGTTGGGGTTGCCATTGGCATCTAAACATCCTGCAATGCACAAGGCAGTTTCCCACAACAAAGAATTACGGAACCTAAAACATCAACAGCGCTGAGATTGAGGAGCCCTGCCCTACAGTTAGTAATGTAAAGGATTTTATTACCTTGAGTGCATGCCAAAATAATGGTGATACTGGAGAAATTATTTGCATTTTAATCTCAAGGATGCATACCATTAAAATGGTGAAAGATTTTTAGTTAGGCTCATTTTGTATCTCAAGAATTAAGTAGTAAATAGTACTAGAAGATGCTTTAATTTACTCTTAAATTTCTTTGTAGGGAAGTCTTTATGATTCACAGCTTATCATAGTTAATTTCACCCCCTTTCTACACATATGCATTTTTCTACTAAACTAGATGTATGAAAATCATATAGCAATATTTCTGCCATTCAGCTCCATAGACATTCACCCAGTGCCTAATGTGCAAGGCACTCTACTGTGTATAGAGATAAATGAGTCACTCACAGGTTTTATTCTCAATAAGCTTACACTCCTTGACTAGTCTCATATAATAAAGATCTTATTCTGGTGGCCTCAGACCATCACTTGGAGTAGTTTATCATCTCTCGGAATTTCCTCGGTCCTAAGTAGGTATGTCACTCTAGGATTCATAGCATTGATATACATGAATGAAGAGAGAGAGTCCTGTTTGGCTTCCTAGAGCATTCCCAAGACTTATCAGACATCTAGAGTTATTATTTCCACGGAAAAATTACCCCACATTCTTCTCATGTTTTAGTAAACAATGGATCTGTGCTTCAGTCCAGTTAAAGCACAAAGAATTACAGAAAACATGTCAAATGTTATGCATGACTTTTGCTGTAGGAATCTAGCAGACCTTTTCTTCAACTTCCATTTATGAGGCACTACTTGTGTCTTGGACACTGTACTAATCACTGGGAATAAGATGAATAAAACACAGTTCTTGCACAGGAGGGAGATGCGCTCAGGATGTTCCCAGTCTCAGCAGATGGTGTCGTCACTCATACCATTGCCCAGGCCACAAACCTTGGAATCGTTCTCATCTCTTACTTTTTTTCTCTAACTCCCTTATATAATCCGTCAACAAACTGTTTTGACTCTAACTCAGATGCGTCTGCTTCTTACATAGCCTACTCCAAACCATTGTTATCTCTGTCCTGGACTTAACTGTAATAGTCTTATAATTGGCCTCCTTTCTTCCACTTTCTTAATATTAATTTTTTCACTTAGCAAAAGCAGCTCTTGTAAAATAGAAGTCAGGGTTGCCATCCCTCTAATGTCTTCCCATTGCAGTTAGAATAAAATGTTAACTTACATGATCGAACTTGCACTCAACTCTGACCACCTCTCCTACACTTTTCCTCATTGTTTCCTCTGCTGCAGCCACAATGGCCTCCATCTCATTTCTTGCACAAGTCAAGTACACTCTCAACTCAGGCTTTTGCACTTGCAGCTTCCTCTATGTAGGATGCTCTTCCCCACTTTTACTCAAATTTTGTACAGCTTCCTGATTAAATGTCACCCTCAGAAAGGCCTTCTTTGATTAGCAATTCCTGTCTCTCTCTCTGCTCTTTGCTTTATTTTTCTTCAGATCTTTCAGATGAATGGTGCATTTCTGAGTGATATGTAATTTTAAAGCATTTTCATATCTTTTTTTTCAGAAAAATAAGAGCAAGAGTATGCCTAATATTTCTCGTATGAATTTGCTCATTGGTTCATTGCCACACCACTATAAAGGAAACTCCATGAACGCAGGGAACTTCTCTGTCTTGTTCACAATTGTATACTTGTACCAAAAGTTTCTGGAACAGGGTAGGTACTTAATAAATGTTGAATGAATTAATTTTTCAGGATTTCATTTAACACGTAAAAATCCATCTTGAAAATTATTAAATTTTAATTGGAGTATTTCACTGGCAATTTGATGTTTTATTGAGTGCAGTTTTAGTTTTCTGAAGAAATTATAATTATTAAAGCAAGAAGTTTTTGCTGAATTGTCGGCAGCATTTAAAGGATTCGAATTCCTTGTCTGGCCTCTGCAAGATGTATGAGCTTGAGCAAGTCACTTAACTTTCCTAAAGTTGTTTCCTCATCTGAAAAATGTGTGAATAATTCTTAACCTTGTCTAGCTCATGGAGACTTAATGCTCAAATCATATAATCCTTGTAGATTACACCTGATCATATGTTTAAATAAAGTTTTCAGTATGTATTTCTATTTGGGGAAAACATAGGGTCTTCAAAATCAGTTGATTATTGTATTTTATAATGTTTTTTGAAATCTCTTGTAGTTATTTAGTGATATAGTGAAACAAAGAAGAATGATATTATCAGACCAACAAAATATAACATGTTCATTCTACAATTGTATTAGTAGCTCACGTCTAATTTCAAGATAATACACTTCTCATTTTCTACCGAATGAGGCACTTCAACAACTGCCTCATAAAAATGAAAAGTTTTTGGCTTATGTGAGTTTTGCAAAGTCTTAAAATTGTATTTTGTAAAAAGCAACTGATCATTTAAGTATTTGCCAATATCTTAACATACCACATTATTAGATCGTAGACTAATACATTTCTACACATCATTTAAAATCTTCCTGAAGATTTTCCCATTGAAGAATTGGACTCTTCAGCTACTGTGTATATTGTATAGCACACATAATGTCTAAATTAATCCTCACAGTGGATATTTTAGCCTCCTTTTTAGATAAGAACATTATTTAAGATTAACTGATTTGTAGTACAAATAAGTGACATACAACTGGCAATCCAGTACTGTCTTCATGAGCCCACACTACCGTCCTCTTTACTATACCCCTGATATGCCAGTTTTATACCAACTAGCATCATCAACTTATATTAATTTATCATAGTCAGGGAATAATTTAGTTCAACACTAGCTCCACCCTCAAAAAGTTGAGCATCTGCGGGGGAGATAGATCAAATACATATAGCAGTGAGGAGAACTGGGTCAATAAGTAGTTTCTCATGATGTGGATAAGATTTTTTGGAGGAAGAAGTTGAGCTCTCTCTTGGAAAGTAAAAGGGGCTACAACAAAGTGAATTTCAGGTTAGAAGGATAAATTAACTTGAATATGAACAGAAGCAAAATGAAGGATTACAAATGAAGGATAATGGTGGTCCCTAGGGCTATGACCTAGAGAAGTATTGTGCAGGCAAATGCAAGAGTTGCAAAGAGATATAGACATTTTTCAACATTGAGCATGGCTATTTCTTTCCAGCAAAATAAAGGAAGATTATCTCAAATCTGTCTACTGTGTACCTTATGTCAGGTGCTATTCCAGTTTCTTTATGCACATTATCTCACTTGATTCTTGCAACAGTGATATGACATTGGTGATAAAATCCTTTTTGAAAACACAGGAAACTGAAGCACAAAGAGGTTGCATTACATGCCAAAAATTATACAGTAAATAAGTGGCAGAGCTGATATTTGAGTCTAGGTCTCTCTGCTTCCAAAATCCATTTTTCCCCTCACCAACACACCCTACCTCCATATTATGATGTTAAACTGTTAAATAATATAATCGCTTCCAAGCAGTATCGTTAGTCACGTGGTGAAATCTTACAGGTGACTAGGTAAATGGAGACTACTTTCTGAAAACTTTGGATATGTGTTTGCACCAAGTCAGGTTTACTCAAAGGTATTTGTTTTGCCTCAATCACTCTTTGGAAAATCATTTCCTACCTAATATATCAAATAAATATATTTGATCTGCTAAGACTGATCTAAATGAATTGTTCATTTTCTTAAACATAAATTTTGTTTAGAAAACACTTGCAAGTGTAGAGACAGCTTCAATATGAATTATTGTGCTTGGAATGTTCAAGTAAGATTGATAGTGGCTGGACTCAGGATTAATGTCATATTTTTCTGCAAAAGAGCTTTAGTAAGTTTAGTTATGGCACCATTTGAAGTCGACTTAGTCAGTTGGGAATTTTAATTAAGTCCTGGGCAGCCACTGAGTATACCATGTTCCGAGGCCAAGTTTTTCCAAGTAGCCATAGAAAATTGGGCATGTGTACATTAGCACCATTCATGGACATAAATCATAGCCAATGGGAAGGTTCAGAGGTAGAAAATTGGCTCAGAGTGATGTTTGCAGAAAGTTTAAGCCAACTTAACCACCAGAGGTGCATGTTGGTTTCTACTTCTTTTAAAACAATATTCTAAATTTCTATTTTGGTTCTGGAAGCCTACCTTATAATGATATATTGACCACAAATTCATTTATCGAAGCATCAAATGAGTGTTCCGTATGCCCAAAGCTCATGAAAATTGCTTAATTTTCTCTTCTGGGACCAATTATGTATTTTAACTTTGGTTTTCTTTAAGTATATTTCTCTCTACATTAAATCTTTCCTCTTTAAATATGTTTATCGATCTCTGGATATGGTGGACTAAGATGTAGTTGCTGATGAAGTCATACAAAGGATGGGTGTGTTGAGGTTGCTGCCTTTAATTTAGTTCTGTGTTTGTTATTTACAGTTCTGTTTATCCTTATGACACTATCGATGAAAGTGCTTATTTGGAAAATTGCTGTTCTCAAGTTGAAACTTCAAAATTATCTATTGTGAAGAAGATTTAAAACTGTATTTCCTGAGAACTGCATAAAAAAAAATAGCTTTAAGTTTGAGGGGAAGGTTGTGACAATTAAGGAAAATCTGAGCCACGCATTCAAGATAGTGTAGCAACTAGAGGCTGTGTGTGCCTCCTCTAGCGTGCACACCAAAATTATAACAAAACTACAGAGCAGCCAATACACATCAAGAGTAACAACATTTTCATCATCGGGGTATCAGAAGAAGAGAGAGAGCAAGGAATTGAAAACCTATTTGTAGAAATAATGATGGAAAACTTCCTTAACCTGGTAAAAGAAATAGACATACCACGCCAGGAAGTCAAAGAGTCCCAAACAAGAGGAATTCAAAGAGGCCCACACCAAGACACATCATAATCAAAATGCCAAAGGTTAACTTCAAATCTTAAAAGCATCAAGAGAAAAGCGATTAGTTACATATAAGGGACCGCCCATAAGACTGTCAGCTGACTTCCTAACAGAAACTTTACAGGCCAGGAGGGCTTAACACAAAATATTCAAAGTGAGGAAAACCCAGGACCTATGACCAAGGTTACTTTACATGCCAAAGTTATCATTTACGATAAAGATAAAGAGCTTCCCAGACAAGAAAAGCTAAAGGAGTTCATCACCACCAAGCCAGTATTACAGGAAATGTTGGAGGGCCTTCTTTAAGAAGAAGAAGAAAAAATATTTCTCAAAAGTCTATATAAAGAGTGGCAATAACTATATATCTATCAACAAGTACTTAAAATGAAAAAGAATTAAAGCTCCAATCAAAATATAGAGTGAATGAATAGTTAAGAAAACAAGACCCCTACATATGCTGCCTACAAGAGACTCACTTCAGATTAAGAGACACACACAGACTATAAGTAATGGGATGGATAAAAGTATTTCATGATGGACCTAGAGAGTATTGTGCTGAGTGGAGTAAGTCAGATAGAGGAAGACAAATATCATATGACTGCACATATATGTGGAATCTAAAGAAGAAAATGAACAATCAAAAAAGAAACTCATAGAAACAGACGTTTTGAGGGTTACCATATGGGAGGGGGTTGGGAGGGTCAGAGAAAAAGGGGGAAGGGATTAAGAAGTACAGATTGGTAGTTACAAAATAGTCATGGAGATAGAAAGTATAGCATAAGGAATATAGCCAATAATATTGTAATAACTATGTATGGTGTCAGAGGGGCCCTGGATTTATTAGGGAGATCGCTTTGTCAGTTATATAGATGTCTAATCACTATGTTGTACACCTGAAATTAATATAGTTTTGTGTGCCAACTATAACTGAAAAATAAAAAGTATATATATTTTTGAAAAGAAGGAAAATACAGGGTCGGGCCTGGTTAGTACTTGGATGGGAGACCACCTAGGAATACCAGGTGCTGTAGGCTTAAAAAAATAAAAAAGAAGAACAGCCTATGTTTTTCATTCTTTTCCTCTTCTCTTAGAATCTTTACTCAGGGTACTCACAGTACCAGCTTACAATCACTTGAAAGCTCAGTCACCATTTGATTTCTCTTTCTCAAAACCTTAAAAGTTGCCAACTTCTGCTTCTAAAATATTTTTCAATGGCTCTTTTCTTTCTTTTTCCACTGTTATCACTATATTTCATCCAAAAATTAGAGTGACTTCCTACACTTGTACTTTCTCCCATCCCCAAAAAGTACTATAGCTTTTTCCACTTAAGCATCTCTCTGACCGTCATTGTTTGTTGGCTAAGCAATTAGAAGAGTCTCCTAGTTGATCTGCTTGACTCTACTCTTACCTCCATTGCAATGATGT